CTGTTACCACAGGGGTGGCAACAACGCTAGCTGTTGTCTGCAGCGACACAGACGGCTGTGAAGTTACTGGACTCTGTCACATACAATAGAAATCATAAAACTGAAAAAATACATTAAATAACTATGGATTATAACTGCTGACAAGGCCACGTCCCTTCCGATTCAATATTCACTATCATCATCGAAGTAACCAGGAAAAGTAGAGGTATTAAATCAAGGCGAGAGAAACAGAAGACACCTGAAGAATGTAATTTTATGAATTTTCATTGAAAAACCACACAAATAAAGATTGGAGTAAAATATTAAAACAAATCTTTGAGTAACAGGCCTGAAAATATAAACTGCATTATGACCCTGTGATGACAGGAAGCTTGCCAGGTACTGTTTGATAAATGCTGACCTGCAGAGTCGTGGGAGTCGCCAAAGGAGCATAGCTCGGAGTGGCAGGAGTTCCTGGGGGGGTGGCCACCAGCAGCGTCTGACCCTGAGTAGCCACATCACTTGCTGGAATGCCAGGTGTTGTAGGCAGGGCCGTAGCTTGAGCTGAAAAATATCATAAAAATAAAACTATTTGCAACTAGACAGAGGGTGCATTTAAATCCACACAAGGCACATTTTCTTTCTCTTCTTCATTTATTTTTTAGTCTTAGTTTTAATTTTCAGAAATGCTCCACAGCACTAACCTACTCTCTGCTTTGAGGTTATAACATCCTACATTTTTATAGTGGTGGTGACAATGTATATGGTGGCTGTAGAAACTTCAGAGAAAGAAACAAATATAGCAAAATAATGACCGATATGCCGTAGCTTACTGATACAAGTCTCAATATGCAAACCCCCTACACATAAATACAGCAGCTGTCATACTGGAATGTGTGAAAACTCCCAGAGCACACGTTTCGAAGCAGGGAAATGAACTGACTCAAACAGTGGGCTAACGTAGTGCTTTGCCAGACTTTGTTACCTGTGACATCCCGGGGTATCGCAATGATGGTTGTAAGAGTATGTTGTGGGGTGGCAGGACTGTAGGAGGGTGTGGCTGGTGCTGGTGTCGGGGGATTCATGGCAGTCAACCCCACAGCATAGTCCGGGGTGCTCTGGTTTGTTCCCGGCTGCTGGTTCTGTTGTTGCAACAGCTGCTGCGCTGCCGCGGCTTCCGATGCTTTCCTCGCTTCCTCCAGCTCTGAAATGTCAACGCACGTCACGTCAAATTCATGGATCATCATAGTTTAAGTGCAGATGTATGTTGAAATTTATAAACTTTAATTTTCCGAGAATCTCATTTCAGGGGGGCTGCCATGACAACTTGCTTTTACAAAACAACAGAGCTCTCGCTAATGTTTTTTTACACATTCAGCACATATTTTTCAACACCTCAAACAGTACAATTATCTTTAGTTTTATCAGAGGGTTAAAGTTTTAACATGAAACACAGATATGCCAAGAGGATGAAAAAATGTACAGTAAATAACACACACATCCGTCATGGCATTCTGGGTTGTGATGCCACGTGGACTTATTGTTTTGTGTTCAAGCAAAGGAATGTACACATCCACACAGTGAGAACTTACCTTGCATCCGTTTCCTCTTCTTAGCCTGCGCATAGCCCAATGGCTGTTCATTGATGTCGAGAAGTTTGATACCGCCATCTTTCCTGCCTGCCGGTGTTCTTGACATGGGGGGACGAGACATAGAGGGGCTGTTTAGAGAAGGCGAACGAAATCCTCCCGCTGGAACCCGACTTGGAATGCCTTTCAGAGGTGCTGTAAACAGTCAGAGAGTTGATTATCTGCCCCAATTTATTTTATGCTACATAACCTCTGCATTTGACAGAGTGTTGTTAAATACAATACGAATCAGTCAAAATGCATATCAAGCCAGATGAAAGAGATGGTACTTTGTTAATGCATGACAGACAGACATGCAAATCTAGGTTAAGCTCTAATGGAGAGTATTCAGCTTAAAGACAAAACACTTACTGGTATCAGTCATCTTGCGAGGCATGCCACGAGAACGCACAGGTACTGTTGGTGCTGTACTTTTCTTTAAGTTGCTGGCTGCATCAGCAGACTTCTGCAGGAGCTCTGCCCTCAGGGCTGCAGACTTTGGCTTACGTTTCAGTGTGAAGTGTTTTGTGGGTGGGGGCTGGAACAAGTACCACCTTATGGCTTATAACCAAAAGGGTTCAATATTTATTTATCTAACAACAATACTATATTAATATTAAGGTTTCTAACGATTATGTTAAAAGAAATTAATTTTAATCTTGGTCAAAATATATTACCTTTGTGATGTCAAATTAATAAATCCTAATTTAAAAGTAAAATACAAGGTAGCCAGGTCATATAAATACCTGCTGTCCAACGACACTAATTAGTGCTGACTTGTTCAGGTAGTGGCACTCAAGCGGCAACATTTCCATATCACACTGTCTCTTCACTGCAATGAAAGAACACTATAAGCTACCAATCAGAGTGAAGGCATTCTTTAGAAACATAATCAAGATATTCCAGAATATTGCCATCACTACACACTGACATTCTGTCAGCTGCAAGCATCAAGATATTTTTATAAGTTAACCGGTACGAAAAAGACTGTTACAATTACTAAATGTAATTACCTGTCACCATATTTGACCATTTGGAGGAATATAAAATTATATCCAAATACAAGCAGATGCATTTAACTTAATTTTATTACTGACATGTCAATTAATATTATCACATCAAAAAATCATGTGTACAAACAAGTCATAGTATTGGAAAGATAAAACAAACACTATGCACAGAAACAAATAACACTTCATAAAGTATGTTTGTGCATTACCCAACTGCTTTCTTACCAAGTTTCCTAAGGTCATTAACCAAGTCTGAGAATATGCGCCTATTTTCATCAACATCACCAATACTGGTATTCAGCGAACCTGTGCTTGGAAGTGTCTTCATGACTTCTGCCAACATTGACACCCACTGTTCACTGTCAACCTGAGCAACTTCCAGGATTTCCTCTAACTCGGTATGCCACTACACAAAATAAAATATCAATAATACTTATGACTCATAACACAGAGGTTAGTTTTATTCAACAAATTCACTTTTTACTCTATTACGAAAATTTGGGTTATAAAATGTAATTTGCTTAAACTACTATTTATTTTGATGCATTATATCACATTTACTTTTAATTTATACAGAAACTATGTACTTAAATTTCTCTTCATCAGACAATATGCTTTAAAATTAAAGACGTGCTACGACAATTCAATAATTCTTCCCCATTATGCAAATGTTCTTGTGTGTGTATACATGCATGCATATGCATATATAATAGTAAACAAACCTCCTCAACGTTCCTTCTCGGGATGTGGAAAAATGACAGCAACAGTTTTAGCTTAACTTGTGTTTGAAGGTCTGGAAAACAATCTTTGATATTCCTTAATACTTCAGCATTGAGTTGAGAACAAATCGAACCACCTGTCCATGAATCATTAGAGGTTCCAAGCTTATTATGTAGCCACAACGAAGTATCGCTGTCCCTGACATTCGCCATATTAAATGGAGGTATGGTATTTTTCCGATAGAGTACCCACAGAACTGACTGCCGGCCATTACCAAATTGTTTGGGCGGTAATTTTGAAATTATGACATGCAATACTTCTTTCCTGGAAGGTTTAGGCCATTAGACCCCTTCCGAGGCCACATACACTGTTCAGACTATCTCATCCACCTGATGGGTTATGTTGTAGAAATAATTAACTGTCCGCCATTATACCAATTAGCTACCAGCTGGTAGTCCAGTGGCAGAACTGTTGCCTCTGTGCCTGCAAAACTTCACAAACCCGCAGCACCAGTGCCTCTAAACTTGCACTGGTGTCTTTGTGGATTCCCTTCTTCCTTCCAAGGTACCAAGGTTTCACCACACCTGCATATCCTCACCTATTTTAGCCTGTGGGTCAACACAATTACTGCGGAGTGCCACTCGGTGACAACGGCAAAAGGCTCACAGTAGGACATGATCACCTCCGCCCACTGGAATTAATGAGATGTGACTGGCCAAGATACAAGTGTACTATTTCCACTACGCTGCCCATACACTCCGCATAGAACACTTAAGAATAAATTCATATACACAAGGCATGAAATTATAAAATCAACAAGTAACCAATACAATTCTTATTTTATCTTATTCAGTTTAATGCAGTGCATTAAGGTATAAGCAAAGGAAATACCATACCTTATACAATGTAGAAGGTAAGGTAGAATGTAGAATATACATATTTTCAACTTATTTCTCTGGTACCTTGATAAATCCATATGCTTTAAGGCTGTGGTTGCCATGGCAATGCAGATAAACAATATTCTATAACTGTAAGCTATATAACCCAGACAATATTCTGCTGGTAAAGTTTCTTAATTAGTATATTATAACTTGAAAGTATGCAAAAATATACAATCCTGGAGTTATATATCTTAATGACTGCATGGCAATATTATAATTTCAAAAGTTACTGTAAAGGATGCTAAATCATTTAAACTTAAATAACAACAGTATGTAGGACTAACAAATCAAGTTATAAGAACAATTTTCATTCCACAGAAGACAATAAAAATGAGTGACTGTGAAAATGCAAGCAGTGAGGAAGAGGATCATCACCAGACACAAAACTCAGAAACAAATTCAGACTTTGCGGAAGATCAAGCATTAATACCGGGTCCAGGAAATGCCTCATTCTTTGATATCAGTCAAAAGAACTTGAAACAATTCCCAAATTATCTTTATGCAAAGTGTTTGCATGTAAAGGTAAGATGTAATTTACACTTGTTAGGGGGGAGGGGATATAATAATATTACTGAGTATGCTCCTTGCAGCTTAAAACTGTTTCTTGCACTTTGCAGCACCTGTACTTAGAAGGCAACTTACTTCAGGACCTGAGCAATAACTTCTTCCCCTCTTTGCCAAATCTCCAATGGCTGGATGTGAGGAACAACAGCTTAAGAAACCTGCCTAAATCAATTGCAAACCACAATAACCTTGAGGTCCTTCTTCTCCAAGGAAATCAAATACAGGCCTTGCCACTGGAATTAGGTACAGAACAGACCAAGTGATGTCAGAAAGTAGCTCACGGCTATGTTAAAATTACAACTGGCTTCCACCGTCATGTGCATCATGCATGTTATAAACATATTAATCCTTTAGTGCAAAGAGTAATTTATGATAAATCCTCGCAAACAAATTTTTTGTTATGTTGCCACATGGAGATGATGTCAGAACAAATATTATTTGTAGTAATTTCTACTCCTTTATAGTATTTGCTAATGTTTTACACAGCCAGCAGAATTGTGCATAAGCTGTGAGATGTGAACTTTAAATGTTCATATAAATTAAAATAATGTTTTTTCACTGTAAAGTAATTAGCAACCTGGCTGACAGGTTACACGATAAAGTACTACCAGCATTGCTCTAACTTTCAGGACTTGTGCCTAAACTGAGGGGCATTCAGTTGTTAGGAAACCCCATCACATTCCCTCCACACGAAGTGTTGAAACAGGGTATCCAGAGCATAACTGCATTCTTGCGGGAGGGGTATAACATTCAAGCTCCGTCACCATCAACAATTAGACCAATTGCAGAACCTTTCTGCAAGGGAGTTGAACTAAGAGGTATATTACACACAAAATCCTACTATGTGCAGTGTCAGAAATGTTATTAACAGAGTAATGTTGTTTTCTTCAATTCTTTTGTTTTCATATTTCTGGTAACATTCTTTACTACATATAAAGGCAGAGTTCATAAAATATTTCACAAACAGCTCATATAAAAGAATAAAAAAAATCACATCATTAAATACTATATATTTCACATGTTACATACACATTTTTTTCTTCCACTAAATAGACAAGTATGTTTAATTCTTGCAGTGACATGACAGCCCCATTGCCTGCATTGATTTGGAAGTGTCACTACAGGCTGCCATACTAATGACAGTTCTTATTAAAAAAAACTTTATCAAGGGCACAACTGATCTCCGTGATGGAAGGACGTAACCATCACATAATTACTTCACAAGCAGAATGCCCAAAATGTTTAAAACAATAAAAGTGCACTGGTCTGAAAAACAACTTCTCTTGCAGATGGCTTGCTCTCACAAAAGTTCAAGACAAAGTCTGGGCTTGTGAAGCAGAGAAGAAAGTCATCTGCACTACACAAGAAGAGGGTAGCTTCCTCAAACCTTCCTGCAATAACTGTGAAGAGTTACCAGAAACTGGGGCTGCAGCCAGCACGACCAAAAACATGTGTTCCCCTTTCCCAGTATAAGCTATCGGTGCGTGATGTTATACAAACTCCATTTGGTTTAATAAATCTGAGTGGTCGATGGACATGCAGTCAACTCTGTCCTGTTGCTTAATACAACACGAATAACATTCTCTGAAAGTTCAAAGTGGTTACTTCTTTCACACCAGACATAACCTGTAAATGAATAAAACTTACAAAAACTTCATTTAAATTTCCACCTGACAGTCAATTAAGACAGAATAAAAAAAATTCTGGAAATAACTTATGACACATACAAAGATTAAAATGTCTCAGACTATATGGCATGGTAAATGAACTATAAATTACTAATTATACAATTTAGTACCACAGCCCTGTGCATTATATCCATCATTATCAAACTATTTTACATCTGACCAGTAAAATATTTGTAATGCTGCCACATCTGTTGCTGTCAATGTATTCAAAATATTTTGTACAGAATTTGTTATATTTGTAACCTGACTTCATATGAAAACTCACATACTTAGCTACAAATGCTTATCAGTAATTACTATTAAACCAAAAGCTACATATAAGTTTAGACTTAATCTTCATCTTGGTTTCTTTCCTAGGGGAATCCCAATAATAATTCTGTAAGTCTTTTTGTTTTCCATCTGAGCATTTTTAGAAAATTGCCATACATAGATGTGTTCTAAAAAAATGTATTTTATTTAAGGATGCTCCACCACCTGAAGAAGTCATCTTTAATAACAGGGAATACCTGCCAAATTTATCAAGCAGAATACACAGTGTCAGCACCAAGACCCTAAAATCACAGCTTGAGACTGAAAGGTTAGTTATTATAAAACTCTACTTGTCTGACAAGAACACAAAAGCAGCTGAATTCTTCATTTGTTTCAGTCACGTCATATTCCCTAATACTCTTATCAATTTCCTGACAAAAAATCACACACAGCACAAATAATACTACAGGAAACAGACATTGATAAGACACAAGAAGTACAAATTGCCCAATAAGCTTCATTCTATTAGAAAAACATGACTCAAGCTGTCACTTTCTACCACACCATAACCATGATTCAGCTGTCTGTGTTTGGCTCCCCTAAAACTAGTTTCTAAATTAGTTATAATTACAGGAGTAGGAGTGAAGCAAAGATCCAAATGAACCTGCTGAAGGAGATGTTTGTGACAAGGATCAGGGAAATGTTGGAGAAACAGGCTGCCATTATCCAAAGAACAAAGTAAGCTGTGTGCTGTATAACAGTTTAATGAGTTTATTGCTTTACATTCTGCTCTCTGACTCAATATCTTTTTTTCAAATGCAGAGACAAGGAGATGCTAAGAAGGTGGAGACAGGATGGACCACAAAGAAACTGCAAGCATGGTATGTGATAACACGCAGTGGTGTCCAGGATCATTTTTGTTCAAATACATCAACTTCTCAAGGAAACTGCCATAAAGCCAATGTTTCACACTCACATATGACTGCCCCAATTTTTGTTCAAATACATCAACTTCTCATGGAAACTGCCATAAAGCCAATGTTCCACACTCACATATGACTGCCCCTAACCAGCAAGCCAGTTATCACCACAGTCTTCTGTTGGGGTTTCATTTGGCTGATCTCAGAATAGGGATCATGTTTTTCGGAATAAAACTGGTAACACAAATTTGCATGATTTTAACAAATACTCATTTAACTCCTGGAATCAATGCACATTAATTTTAACCTGGACTGATACAGCACAGAAAATTAAGTGCCAAATACATTTTTTAAAATTTCTTTTTATAACAAACTTCATACATAACTAACTACATGGAACACAGACCTTCTTGACAAGCCTGTCAAGAAATTCCACAATTTTTGAAACCTGTAGATTCCTAGGATATGATCTACCAATACTTGTCCCTTCAACTTGGTAGACTTCTCACACCACCAACCAAATAACATGTCAAAATAAACAAAAGCATCAACGTTCATATGAAGATCTTATGATTTTGCAGAATCTGGTGAACTACCATATGATACTGACCCAAACTACTTGAAAATGCCATCGAGAGCTGAGCTGCAGAACCCCAAGATGGCCAGGAAATGGCAGAATAAACAGGCACAGAAAAAGGCTCTGAAGTGAGTGCCAGTTGTTGATTTTCACTCTCTCTCTCATGCACCAAGCTTAATCCTTCCAAACCCAGTGGTAACTATATGTACCACATGCCTTAACAAACCATAACTGCATTTTTCCTAGGTAACTATATGTACCACCTGCCTTAATAATCCATAACTGCATTTTTCCTAGAGTGTATTCAGGGGTTCCATATGATTCTTCAAAATAAAGATAAATTATTTCCAATCAATAAAAAAGTGATCTGAGATGAGTTGTACTTCTTTTGAGGAACAAACTGAATTTTTAAATATTAGTTTATAAGAAAACAGTACTTGACAACTTTAACTATCAGTCATTACAGACAAGTAAATATTGATGACACATCAACAATGTGCAAAATGTGATTTATCATTACAGAAACATTGATGAAGAGATGTCAGACATCTTCAAATCTCTACTGGAACTGGACAATTCATGGAAAGACACGGGTCTTTCCCCTCAAACCAAGAAGACCATCCTTAACAACGAGATGCAAATGGTAAGAGTAAATTTAACTTAAAATCAGCACTTGTGCGAATGAAAGCATCAGTACAAACAAGCACTGCAATTTCCTATAACCCTTTAGCAACAAGTCTTTCCCCCCTTGATATGCCAAAAAAAACATTTCAATGAACATTTTGGTTTACCCTACAACAGTGGTATTCAACCTGGGGTACGCATACTCCTAGGGGTATGCGAAGACATCTTAGGAGATACGTAAAATTTTAAAAATATATATATATATTATTTTATGATAAACACTGAATAATCAGTAAAGTAATTTATTTAATTTATTTTAGATGTAGATTATATACTATGTATAACTTGAATTATACACCAACAACTTTGGGGGTACAAAGTTAAAGAGAAATTATATCTGGGGGTACGCGAACAAAAAAGGTTGAATACCATTGCTCTACAATACCAATTTTACCACTGGACCTAATTCTAAAGCAGTTAAAATCTGCAATATCATCCCTCTAATAGCCAGAGGACCATCTGCGCCTGTTAGGCAGAATCTTGGCCTTGATGTGACTTGATTTAGTCAATCATCACATGTTGATGTTAACTCCAATACATGCAACAATACGGTGCAGGTGTGGGTTCAGAGATCTTTCTTTAATCTTTACGGGTCATGCATACATCATCAGATCTTGTGTGGTGTCCAGCTGGCCATGCAATGCATGGTGCCGCTAAAAGTCAGCTCTCGAGTTTTATTAACTTCTTGTACTACCCAGCCGGGCATTAAGTAGGTTGTTTCCCTGTCTATTATCCCTCTTCTTTGTCCCACCCAATCCCATTCTTATATTTACTTTTTAAAATTAATATTCTGTCACTGTCTGCTCCCAACAGTCAGCAGCCTGCATGGTATATATGTCCCTCTTGAGCCCAACTGTATTTCTTAGTATTAAAATGAAGTAGGTTACAGATAAAGCTGCATAAATTCATGTTGTTCAGTTGGAACAGCTACAGAAGAAGCTTCAGGTACTCCACTTCCGGAATGCACGTCAGAACGTAGCCGTCCTGTCCCTCCCAGTCCGAGGACAGCACATCCATGTTGGGGGCAGGAAAAATGTCTGACAACCGTGACTTCATCCAAATCGTGTGAAATAAACATGCATGCTTTTTGAAATTTGATGTGATCTCTACACAAATGAGTTGTTTCATAAGTTAAATCATCTCCCATATTGTATGTCATTAAACAGACAGCAGCCAGTTTTGAACTTTGAACAAATACATTATGCTAACCACAGGTTATAAGTCATTTTTTTAAACATGTGTTGGCTCTCTGCCTGATCCCTGTGCTGTAGATAAGAGGTCCTACAGACATATAGCAGATAATTTCATTATCTGTATTTTTCATCTGGTAATTGGTAAGGGGATTAAGAAAGAGGTGAAAGGATTTCATTACATACATCCTGGTGTCCAGTGTTTAGCATATTTTGCTGTGTAACACAAGAATCCAATTCCTGTGGGATTCTGCATACAGTTAAAATTTGACCTTGAAAATTACAGGGTAAGTTTCATGCTCACAATCGATTTTCTATGTAATCTGTAAGAATTTGGAAGAAACAACACAAACATTAAATTGTACCTTTCATAGTTTCACATACTTAGTCCAGCTACATATACAGAATGTTAGTTGGACTTCAAGTCTAGTAACACAATCTCAGAGCAACCTGCAAAATATCAGTTCGTCTGCAGTTTCAGATAACAATATCAAAAACAAATGTGATTTTATGTATGAAACTCCTATTTTAACACATTCACTGCAAAATATGTCACACAACATTTTCATTACCTCATACCACTTGTGTCAAATATGTCTATAAACATTTTAATGCTGATGTACACGCAGATGCTCTTATCTCCTTCAGATGTCACGTAAATGCACTTAAACTTTCAACGATGACAAACGAAGCTTTGACGTAACGATTTATGCATTTACAAGCGACATACTATGCTTTGTAAATATAAGATTGCCTAATGTATATAAAGATGAATGTTGCAAAATGTGAGAAAACAAACCAACATTTAGATGGAAGTAAATAGCCATACAAGATATCACAGCCTAACGCCATTAACGTGAAAATTTCATGCACTTACTTCAAGTAATTTCCAAAATAATTAGGTATTTTACACTCATGTTAAACATCCTCGAACTGAAAAATGGCTGACACGAGGCATTTAGCATGGAAGTTAATGCTTTTGAAAACAAGTTATAATATCATCAAAGCACAGAACTGTTTGCTAATTTTATTTAATGACAAAATATTATTTTTTTGTAACTGAATGACTATAATACAACAGTTCACTGTAAGGCACAAAACAGTCGCTTCTTCAAGCTCAACGGCCTGGCAAACAAAATAGCATTAATTTCAAGTGACAAATAATTAGTTTTACAAAACAGGTTTTGATAACCAGTTGTGGAACTGGTTTATGAATGTCACTACCAGAGCTGGACGAACGGCAGGAAGGTGACATCCCAGCCTTAGATTGATGGATGGCATCAGGTGGAATGTCTGTTCTAAAAGATGAAATCTACAACAGACACGGGTCAGCCTGGAAACAACAGCATCAGTCGTCAGAAAGTATCCTGGAAGGACGGTACTAGCAAAGTTATTGATGATTTCACTCCATGGATGTCGCTCTCACCAACACCTGTCTTCACCAATTCAGACATAAGCTAAAACAAAGACTAGTACCTGAGAAACTATAACAGATACTGTACAAATATACATAACCCCTGTTAAGGTTAAAAATATAAAATAACAACATGGTACCCACACAACAACTGGTGAACCATGGGATACCTAAAAGTTTTGTAGTTTGTCAAAATGCATCAGCACGGCAATGGCACAAATGTCTGATGTTACGTTTCTCAACTGATTAAACCAATTTTATCTTTTTTTTTATCCACTTAACGCCTCAATACTGGACACACTCACATAAGTAAATCAAAAGGAGACATTAAGATAATGGAGTGCCATCATCGACTAGAAACAATCTGTTTGTAACCAACACAGTGTTCCCAGAAAATTCAGTTTCTAACTCATGATGTCACTGTTATGAACATCTCAGTCTTCATGAAGCACCACATAACACAGGATCGCACTTGAACCTCTTCACTTTGTCAAACACTGTCTGTATACTTCTCTCATTATCAAACTCATCCCTGAGGTAGAGGAGTTTGATTCGGTCATGCGAAAAACACTCTAACACTTCCCAACGTTCAAACAGTTTCAGTGAGTTCTTGAATGCATCCACAGATAAACTTTCCTCTGAAAATAAACATTAAACAAGTTACAAAAGTACATTAAATATCTACTGCATTTTCTATTTGTAATGGATTAAAACAACGTTGATTTTTTGACGTAAATACATCTATAAGGGTCATTCAAAAAAAAAGTGGAACGAAAAAGTGTAACCTAGTTACCTAGGGAACGTCGTGTTTACTTAGCATTGTTATTACCTATAAAACATTACATTACATTACATTCAGCTACCACAGACCCATCTTAAGCGTAACTAATTCAAGTTGAATAAGCAAAGTCTTAATCAAACTTATCTCAATTGTAAAGCATGTATAAAGGAAATATTTAGAATAAAGCCAATATACAAACTTCCTTTCCGTATAGACGTATTTACGTCAAATTCTCCGGAACCGTGGTTCCACTATCACTTTTATCCTCTCATATATGCTATCCAGAATATCCGACGCAACAAGTCTCAGGTACCCGTATACGCAGATGTTAATGTGTCCACTTTGTGGATTAGATTGCACATGCAAACCTTAGTTCTAAACTTTCAGGTTATAATAATGAAGGTCAGTTAATATAATTGTAAGTTGATGAGTTTAGAGACACTACAGTCAAGAGAAACCAAAATAATGCACTGATATTATGCCCAAATCTGTTCTGAATCTTCAATATCCAGAAACATAAAATCTGAGCCCTTACCATACTGGGCAAAACCCATCTTCAGCTGTGTCTTCATCTCAAGCAGCAACTCCTGCATGTAGTCTTGCTCAGTGAGATGGCGGCCCACAAGCCGGTGTAAGCCAAGTGCGCTGATTGCATACGCGTCAATCAATGGCCGCAGCATGTTGCGGTAGAACTCCAGGCTCTGAACGGCTTCCTCCCGTGTGTCCAGCTGGAATGCAAATGCAACTGCGTAGTACATTAACCATCACCTCTTCAGCAATTCATAGTGCTCCTTATATACTGCTAAATTACTCCTACTACTAATACAGGTGCCAGGAAAAACCTTCCATTTTACGCAACATTTTTAGCACGTATAACATTACGGCACTGACAGTGCCAATGATTTTGCTTGCTATAACAAAATTGTCATTATACGCCATACCTCTTCAATTACAGATACATCGTATGTAGCATAAAAAAACAAAACAAGAACAGTACTGACTTCCGGGGCCAAAATTCTACTTCTAAATGAATCATAAGCACACAAATAAAAGCACCAATATGAACAATTTAGCCACAATGTTCAAGTTTGCATTTGTGAGATGAATGTCCGACTGAACGGAGAGTCTCTCAGATTAAACTGCAAGAGAATACTTCAGTGAAATCAGAACTTGAAGAAGTTTCATCTCACCATCACAGTCTGCCTACTATGAGTGTCCTCTCCTGAGTCACTGCTCTCACCATCAAAGTTCTTGGCGAAGTTCCTGCTCCAGTTCTGCTCCTCAGAGTACGTGGGCTGTAAAATGGAGCCACACACTAAGTAATGACACATACAGTCAATGACAAGTGACAGCATACTCTCACAGAACCGCATACCTCGTCGTACTTGAGGATTTCCTTGTGCTTGAACTGGGTGAGAGCGTCATCAATAGCGTTTTCCAGTTGCTGACATGGTTTGGTGAAGATAAATTCAAACTGCAAGATCTCACAGAGATCAAGCACACACTGTCTTATTTGTCCCATTGTGAAGCCGAGTACCTGATAGCTTCCAGCAATATCAGGCGAGTTCTTCTCCACAGACAAGAGAGAGTACAGGGCAGTTACTGCAACAGATTGGTTTGCATTAAATGTATCATATCAATACTCCATAACTGAACTTTCTTCAGCTTGCTCAATCAATTTAAAATCCTCAGGCCCTACTCATATAATTAGAGTTTATTAGATTTAGACTTCATTTACTTAATTCTAATTTCAGTACTGTCAAATTAACTATACTTACGCCACCTCCCGTTGTCAACTTACATTCTAGTTTTCCTGCCCCGATTTTGTATGCACTTGTTTCTCCATGTCTACCATATGTCCCATCCAATTCCTCATTTCTTACTTCCCTTACGACACCACATAAAGAAAAATTATAATTTTTACACATAAGAAATAAAACTGCCATTGTCACTCACCTACAACACTGTCAAGCGCAAAGTGAGACAAGAGTGCGTTACTGTAATACGACAGCTCAATCACATTGGGAACCATTGTGAAGGGACGAATCATCACAACAGGTTCACCTCCCTCTTTGAGGACCCTTTCCCGACGCACCAAGCCTGGGCCCAAAAGGTCACACTGCAACCAAATTATTGACTTCTATCTTTTGCTGTTAAACTTGAGGGGTGAGGACCATGAGAGAGTAATACAAAATGGAACACTCATAACGTTTCCTATCATGTGACAGATGAGATTCTGTGCCATACAAACATAACAGGCAGGATATAAAAGTTACATTAATAAATTATAAAGTTTAAATTAAAAAAAATAGGCCATCTTTTGTTACCAATTAATTCCACTAAATGCACAGGTCAGTCCAAATCATTTTTATAAATTTTATGTATCATATACCCAAGATAGTGGACAAAATTATGTGATATCATATAATACTCCCATCTCTTTCTTGCGTGGTTTCCATGTTTAATTATCACCCAACATCATTATAAGAGCAAAAGATGCTCCTGTGGCTACACACTAGAATGTGAATTTGTTATTGGGGCACAGAGGTAAAGCTCCACACTTTCTCTAGCCTACCACCAGACGGAGGTAGTTTACCCTTTGCGGAAACAGCGCACGCCAACCTGGACGAGCCACAGAAACTTACTGGACGTAGTGGTGATAAAAGAGGTTGAGTCGTGACACAAGCCCCGACCATCTAGCCTGTACTCACAGCATGGTTGATGACGTCCACTATATCCCCCATGAAACCGACATCACGGCCAGCACAGAACAGATCATTCTTCAGCTTCTCCATTGCTTC